TTTTAAGGAGTTCAACGATGGCTTGATTTCAGGCCTCATACATTCATTGTGAACTTTGAACATTAAATTGTATTTGGAAATTCCTTTTCCATTCTTCATAGGTCGGGTACCTCTCTACTTAATAATCCCACTTCCACAAGACAGTTATTTGCCATCTGCATCACTAGCAATCCAGGCAGGGTTCAAACTTGATACTCTCTAGTGTCAAGAGCAAAAGCATTTACATGTTACCTATCAGAATCTTCTAAGCAAGTCTCTTTCCCATCCAGGCCTAGAAGAGTTTTAGCATTGCCATAGAAATGTCCCCATAGAAATGGAAACCTATGCTGGTGACACTAGTAGAAAGAGGGTAAGACAGATCAATACCCTAGGAAGGGTCAGAGACACTGACAGTCCCTCCTCCCATCCCACAGGATCTCAGAGCCCCTTTTAGGAATTATAAAGATGCGATACGGAAGTCTGAGAAAGGTTGAATGAAACACAAGGAAAAGACAACCAGACATTATGTGTTCCAGATGAAAGAACACAATACCACTTATGAAGTAGTCTAGCTGAAAATTGAACCTGAGTCTGATAAAGACTCAATTACCAATGTACAACAAATGCAGTTTTAATTATCAATGTACAGAAGAGAGCAACATGTTAAATGCCACCCCAGGGATAAATGCAAAATCCAGACTGTGAGAAAGGCTCCACTAGATTTACAACTAGATTTACAACTAGATGAACAACTAGATTTTTTCACCAAAGAGAAACTTAAGACGTTAAAAGAGATCTAAAAATTTTTAACTAACATGTGTGGATTATAGTTAAGTAATAAGGATGATTTCAATCTTCTAACAGAGTATTTTAAAAATTATAAGCTTAAGAGAAATGAATTTGAACACTGAATATGATGATAATATGAACAGTACTATGATATTGTTAATTATCTGAGTCATGTGATAATGCTATTATTTTAAAATGATATTATTTCAAAAATTACATCTTCTAAGGATGCATACTTCAGTATTAATAGTGAAATTGTATACATGAGATATTCAAAAAGAATATGGGAGAGGGAGATAGGTGGGCAACCATGAACATGGGCTGATGGTTAATACCTATGAATCTTAAATTATTGATCTACTTCTGTGCATATTTGAAATTTTTCACCATAAAAAGTAAAACTACAAAACAAAAGAACAACAAACCCAACAGAGAAGTGGGTTACCTTCAGGACAAAGCCAAGAGGCATATGGAGTCTGTTTCAGCCAGAAGGCATATTTCAGATCTAAGGATATGTTCTGCTTGTGAGGAAACTTTGATTCCCCAGCTCGAAAAAGGGATCAAGGTAAGGGCCAGAGCTGAGGTAGCAAGATGCTCATTCTTAGGGATGCAACCTTCCCTTTCTTCCCTTCCCTTCCCTTGCCATGTGACCCTGGGCCCTGAGGTGTTCTTATAGTTTTTCACTGAAGTAAGTTTCTATGTCAGGTGTATGAGAGTGTCAAGAGTTATTCCTGCAGGCATGGCTACATTTGTGATCATGATTGAGGAGAATTCATAGAAGAGTTCAAATCTATTTAAGTTTCATTACACAAAACTACGTGAAAAGCTTTAAAACACTACCAACTGAGTAACTCTAAAAATGGCAGCCAGTGTTTATTGGATCTGACTGAAGGCTAGTCATTAAACCGAACACTTCATAAGCATCATTTAATTATCATGATGTGGCTTTGATTAGTGTCCCTATCTTACGGAGAAAGGAAAGTGACATTCAGACATTATATAACCCAATGAAGGTGGCAGAGTTTAGATGTGACCAAGTTTGAATCCAAACTCACAGTGTTCATTTCCTAGGGCTGCCTTAACAAATTACAACAGACTCTGAGAAACAGAAATTTATTATCCCACCATTCTGGAGGCTAGACGTCTAAGATCATGGTATCAGCATAATGGTCCTTCTGAGAGCTGAGGGAAGGATCTTCTCTAGCCTCCTCTTGATTTTTGGCTAGCCATCACCTTCCTTTGCCTTCACATGGTCTTACTTCTCTGTTTGTCCCTGTCCACATCTTGTTGAAAGGACTCCAGAAGTAATGGATTAGGACATAGCTTAATGATCCTATTTTAATTTAATTACCTCTCTAAAGACATTATCTCTACATATAATGATCTTCTGAGGTACCAGGCATTAGGACTTCAACATAAAGATATTAAGAAACAGTCTATAATATTTCCCCTCCAGAATCAGTACTTCTTACTGTCTTCTCCAAGTTGCCAACACCACAGGGACACTAGCCTGGGCAAACCCACAGATGCTCTCAACATTCTTGGTCATAGGGACGTGCCAGTGTAACCCCCTCAGGGTATCGTTGCTATTACTTAGAAGTCCACGCATAACAGCTGAAGTGGGCTCTATCACTGTATGATCAGCATGAGAAGAAAGAAATGTATGACTGGGTGCCACATGGACAAGGTACCTGGTCCCAGTGGACTTGCAGTTATGAAGTCCACTGGGATGTTTTCCTCTCTGTTACCTCCTTTTTTTCTTAGACCTTCATAGACTCTCTCAGCACTCTCTTTCCCCTTAAACCAATAATCAACCTCCTGATGAAAAAATCTTTGTGACAAGTTCCTATGTCCCCTCCCTCCACTTCTTGCTCTCCTTCACTTCTTAATCAGGCTTTCTGAAGCCTCCGTCTACATTCACATTTCCTATCCTCTTTCCATCCATTCAATTACTGAATTCTCAATAAATACCGCTACTATTCTTAATTTCTAAATCTGATCACCACTTCTTAGTCATTTTTACTTTCTTTGTAATGTTTAACCTGTGCCCTTCTTAAAATCCTTCTTTATTGATATAATAGGATAGGCTACAAATTAATAAATGTATCCTCCAAATCTCCATGGCTTAATACAACAAAAGTTTTTCCTCCTCATACAGAACTGGATGCTCTAGGGTTTTCCATGATCATGGTGACTCCATCATCTAGATTATTTCCATCTTGCAGTCTGTGAAGTCCAAAACAAGCCTCTTTGTTTAATAAGACAGAGGAAGATAGAGTCAGAGGTTTAGACCCCAGACCTCAAATGTTTTATCCCAGAAGTGATATGCACTACTACCACTTACATCCTGTTGGCTAGAACTAGTTACATGCCTCACTTAACTACAAGGATCTGGGAAATGTGGAAGAGCACATGAATATATAGTAAAGAGTAAATATTTCCACTATAATGATATCTATAACCATTTTTCTCTTTCAATTTCTTTTTCTCCAACACTTTCTTCAGGAGCAACTTTGTCCATCTCTACTCACAAATGTTAGCCTTTCTTATGATTGCATCCGTCTGTCCTCTAGTGTTCTTCCTTACACCCTCTCCTGGTAAAAGCACACCCATACTCACACCTTTTTTTAATACTACTTCCAACCCATAGTGTGCATAGTAGAGAGATGTAAACCTAAATGATAATAATCCATCTAGTAGTCTGCTAGGTACCTCTTCCAAGAACTCAGGCATCAATAAAACTATCCCCCAAATCAGAAGCAACCAGCTCCTACTTGATACTTTCCTCCACAACAGGTCTTTCAACCAAGCCCAGTAAATCTTTTATGGATATTTCTAGATTCATTCTCTTCTCTGCATTGCTACTGCCACTGCATTCAGGCCTTTACTATTTTCTTCTTGATTTCTGTGTTAACCAGCTCATTCATCTCTCTGTGTTGTTATCACTTTCTGACTGCTCATTCCTTAAAACATTTGAAAAATCCATTGAATAGCTACTAAGCCTACCAGACAGTATGCCACACACTAAGCATATAAAAATGAAAGGTACAACTCTTTCCCCAAGATACTCACAACGTAGTGTGGACAGAAAAGTAAACCACTGTGATATAGACAAATGAAAACTTTAAGAGAAATATTTATAAAAGAAACACTCAGTAATACTTTTCATCAGCTTCAAATTCTTCCAGGATCGTCACACGAATTTCAAACTTGTCAAATGGGAACCAAAGCCATTTTGGTCTTTGAGAGCCTCTTCCCCCGTCTCAGTTCCCCTGCACTCTCGCCTCTGCAGCTCCACGGGGCTTCCTCACACATTTTCCTAATTCCTCTTCATCATCTAAAGCTCATAGCAAGGAACATGTCCTTACAGAAGCCTTTCTTAAGCTGCCAGGCTCGTCTAAGCTTACTGCCGCCACAGTTTTATTACTGTATTCTAATAGGCTCTCGCCTGGGTGAGGAGCAGCCTCTCAATCCCTTTGGAATCCCCAGAATTGCACAGGGAACATCATGGAGTTAAAATGTTTAACCACCTCATCCTCTGATCTACTCAAATCCACAGCACAGGAAAGCACTCTGAGAGGCGACACTTCGCCTGGACTTTTTGAACTATCTCTGTGTCCTTGTTCTCCAGCCTTCATAAATTATTGATTTCTATTATTTAATCATCCTCTGACTCACGGCTGCCCAAGCCCGGAGCACTGTTTTATTTCTCCAAGCCTGTCTGTAGCCACATCCTGCCTGTCACGCCACCATGTAACAGAATAACGCATCTTTCTCCTGCCTCTACCCAGCATTTCTTCTCTATTCCACTGCAGGGCAAGTGAGTGTGGGGAGTCAGAAGAGACACAGAGACAGAGGCAGAGAGAAGGCAAAACACAGAGCCACTCTGGCTTAAGCAAAAAAAGGGATATTGTGAGGACATGAACTAAAAATTCCAGACGTGCTCAGCCTCAGCACAGATACAGCACTCAACCACTTCCCCAGTCTCCACAAGCTAATCACACGTTCTGCACACTTCATTAATTTAGTATATTTTGTGGAAGATCTGTGTATAGCCACAAAGGGTTATATAAAGCAACAATCATTTTTCTGCTGTCACATGTTGTTGCCCTTCCATCCTCCACCTTCCTGCCCCCCTTTCTCTTTCTGTCTTAAGGCCAGCATAATTTATCTGGCGCACGCAAAGTTTAGTAGACCTCTTGTCTTGATCAAAGAGGCCCTTGATACTTCACCTTTCACCCTAGATGTCATTCCAAAGTATTTCTTCTAATCAGATGGAGAACTCTCCCTCGGAGGTCTCTGGTGATCAACATTTCTCCACCTCATTACTTTCAAGTTCTCACAGTTCTGTCATTTGGCTGTGGATAAAGCTTGTATCTCAGCTTCAAACAAGAAGTGTTGACAATTAGCAGAGCACAGGGCTTACACACAGGAAATCCTTCTTTGCATGAGCAGCCTGGCTTCCCACTATTCATCCCAATGAGTCACCACAGTGCCCACAACTATGTCCAATCCCCCTAATGAATATTTGTGGAATGTGTGTGGAATACAAAGTAGCTTCGATGATTAATCAGCCTCTCTCATGAGACAGGAAAAAGATGATACACAATACTTGAAGAAAGGAAGAGCCTAGGTGGGCCAGAGGCCTTGACAGATATGGAAGAAAAGAGACACTCTTTGGTGGAAGTGGCTTGCTATTCCTGGACAACGTAGCCATTCCTCTCCATTAGGTGCCTTTGGTAATTATATATTTTCCTTGTGCTATGATCTGAATACTTACATCCTACTCAAATTCATTTATTGAAATTCTATCCTCAATGTCATGTGATTAAGAGGTGAGGATTTTCACTCTTGAATGGGAGTAGAACTCTTATAAAAGGGAGCTTGCTTGTCTGTTCCTCCATGTGAGTACATAACAACAAGACACCATTAATGAAACGGAGAGCTCTCATCAAACCATAAATCTGGCTGGTGCCTTTTTCTTGGGCTTTCCAGCCTCCAGGAAATGTGAGCAATAAATTCTTGTTGCTTATAAATTACCTAAAGTAGTTTGTTATGGCAGGCTAAACAGACTAAGATAGCTGTTTATTTCATTGTTTTTTTTTTTTTGAAAATGTAAATCTACAGGAAATTAAGATATTCTGAACTGACTGTAGCTCATTTGGCCACTCAGCAACTTCCAAGTTACTTGGGTGTACATCAGTAGCATCTGTTGATTGTAGGTGAGTGGTAAGTAGCATGTATTCCCTATTCACAACTTTGACACCAGATGAGGCCTTACACCAAATCCTGCCAAAGTTGCAGAAGTTTATTTGCCTGTAGGTATAAAGACAGTCCTACAGCTGGTTCTTGAGAGTTTGGAGAAAATCCATCTCAGCCTCAGGCACTACAAATAGCACAAGCACTGTAAAGTGAACATGGGGACCCTGAGGATGATAGGACCAGGCAGCCTTTTGCAGCCTTTGCTGGACCAAGGGAGAAAAAGATCCTGCATACTGAAGGCATTGCTATGAACTTGTGGATCCACATGTCCCACTCCTGCCACGGCAGTGCAGCTTCGGTCTTTCTAAATGACCACATCTCTTGAACCCTGACTCATCTTACCTATGAAAAATACCTCTAACATCTCTTAAACTAACTAAAAACCCTTATGTCAGATTTTGACAAAGGTATTTGAAGTGGTACATAGTCATCTTTGGGGCATTAATTTCTGATGAGAGATATTCTAAAGCTAACTACCTGTTCTATGGCATATCATACAGTTCAGAGTGGCCCACACCACTCTGGCTACTGAGGAGGCTGAAACAGAAGGATCAAGAGTTTGAGGCCAACTTAGGCAACTTATCAATACCTTGACTCAAAATAAAAAATAATTTCAAAAGGGTTGAGGGCATAGCTCAGTGGTAGAGTGTCCCTGGGTTTGATTCCCAGTATGGGAGTAAAATTCCAAATGGGAGAACCTCGGAAGAGATAATGCATAGGTAGGGCTGGAGTCTGCAGCTGATAATTCACAAGTTTACCTGCTTAAACATGAGGCACCTTGTGTTTGTTTCCTTGTGTTCATAGCCGGACTCGCAAAAAGTAATCCTGGTCCTAACTTTTATCATTCACCATTTTGGAGGGGGTGGTTTACTCTCTTGCTGTCAGCATAAATGTAAAAATTAGGAACACAGCTGATTGCACCTGTAGTTACCCACTTACAGCCACAATTAGCTGTAAGCACCCTCTGAAAATGGCAAAAGCTGTGGAGCACGCCTGCAATTAAGTAATTGTGGGCATCATTAGTTGCACTGTTAGTCGAATGAGTAACTTTTATGGTCGCCATGGCTACCTCCTGATACAAAATTACCCACCCAACCAGGGAGCACTAGAGCTGAAACTGAACTCCCTCCCTTTCCAATTTTGTGAAACCCGTGTGTTTTTCAAGTTATTGTATGCAAGTGAGTAGGTTATATTTGCAAATACAAGCTCTTTGTGTAAAGCCAAAAAGAAATTATCACCTTGGGTCCTGTGTATTATCTGTTTATCATTTTATGTTTATTTATGTTTTATTTGTTGTCATTAGACATACAAAAAAGCAGAGCAAACCTCTTTTTTCTGGAAGAAAAAACTCACTTGTGATATCTAGGTGACAATATAATCTTTCATTTGTATATTCTGTCCAATAAAGAAGGTTTATTTCACACTATAGTTATCATTTCCTGATTTGAATATCTGCCACAAATTTTCAACTAGAGAGCTTTGCTTCCTGCTAGAATTGAAATGTTTAGAACTTTTCCCAGAGGCCTTTAATCTGGAAGGGAAATGAATCCAGAGAATGAAGAAAACAATTCCTGCTTAGAGAATGATGATCTGTGGAAACATCATTGAGAAACATTTTCTTAATGAATCATCAGCCTTAGAATGAAACATCTAAGAAATATATATTCTTCTAACACCCAAGAAATACATACTCACACAACAGATCAGATGAACCCGGGTAGATAGATAGATGCATACTTTATACTTATTTATACACTCTGTTCAAGAGCTCTGTGAACAACAGATTAATCATCCCTAAGTAGCACGTTATAGATATAGATATACCAATCTCAGAGATGAGTAACTAGGCTATCAGTCCCATCTAAGGTTTACAAAGTATGCAATACACAGGTGATGAAATAGTTCATAGTCCATTGATGATCTGTCTATGGGTCTTACTCATCACTTAGAAGGAGGGAAGATATCAGATTTTTCTGAGCCTAGAGTGTTCTTGGAATAGAACTAATAGCTGAGAAACCAAATTTTTAATTTTATTCAATTTTAAATGAAGTAGCCACATGAGGACAACAGCTGCTGGATTATACAGTACATCTCTAAAATACATATATGGCGATAGCCAGAAAAAGGGGCCAATGTTGATTTCAGATATGACCAAAATTGTAATAAACAGGTGAAAAGGTATTTAAATCCAGAATCACACGCCATGATCTTGGCTTCCCTTACTTACTAGCTATGTATATGATTGTGGATAAAACATTTCTCCCTTAGGCCAAGATGCCTCAAAAAGATAAAACTGGTAGGACTATGGAGAAAGCAGAGAAATCAAAGAGAATCACAGTGGACCACTTTGTCTTCCTGTCGCCTGGGTGGCTGTACTAAAGAGAACTGTTCAGGGGAAAATACTGACGGACATGTGGGAGGAAAAATGTTCTAACACAAATTAGGACTCCCTTGGCTATAACTGGCAGAAAACCTAGCCTATACCACAGAGATATTGTGGGTTCATGTATTAAATTTTAAAATGCAGAGCTAGTGCTTGTTCTGAACAAGTGAATTTGGGCTTCAATCGCTCGTCTGAATTGAGTTTTTCTCCAGGCTTTTGGCTCTGACTTCTATGCTGGTTTCAGTCATGGGCTCCAACTGGTAGCAACAGGGCACCAGCATGCCAAGTCCCCGCCCAGAAACTCTGAAGCTTCCCTTCAGGATAAGGAACAAGAGTCTCCAGCATGCATGCCATATAAACATCCTTTACTGTCTGGAACTACAAGCCCTGCCTGAAGCTCAAAGTCCACTTCAGGTCCTTGCATTGGTTCAGCCAAGCTCAAATCACAGGGACCAAGAATGAGGAAGAGCCGTCTCCAACAGGAAAAGCTAAATAAGGTACTTTTAGGAAGAGGTGAATTAATGCATTGCAGAAAAATAACAGGTGTCCCCTCCAGTCCTGCATCTGTCTTTGAAAGACAAGAATTTTGACCTTTTGAGTAATCATAGTAGAAATGAATCCAATTCAATTAAATTCAACTCATTTACACAAACACACTCTAAGACTACCTAGGATCTTCCATTTCTAACCAGATGGTTTCTAACCATGAAAACCTGTCTCATTTTGGACTTGTCTTTGGCCTTCCCCTTCAAATGATATTGATTGTAAAACAGACCAGAGTTAGTATTTTCCACCAGCTGATTTTGAGATATTTGTATTCTTTAGGAATCATGCTAAAAGTGGAGAAAATGTTTTCATAGATTCAATTTCCATTTGACTGGTTGACTTTTGAGTAGCAGATTCCAAAGATTATTCATTCATTCTGATAACACTGCTTGGAATCCTAAATACATTTTGATAGTTTGCTATTTTTACACCTACTATTCTAGATGGAAAGGAATTGGGCAACACAGTAATTGTTGTTCATTCATTTAACAATAATTAGAGCACTACTATACATCAGGAATAATGCTTGGTGTAGAAAGAGTCCATCAAGAATGCCATACACTACACAAGGTTGCTGTGATTAGAAAAAGCAATGGATCTTCTGTCATTCACACGTTAAGTCCAAATTCTGACTTTTTCAGTAATTATAACTATGATTTCGAGACAAAGGTTTCATTTGGAAAATTTCTAAAAATTTCTTTAGCTGGGAAAACTCTGAGTCTGTGAAAGGTTAGAAACATTAGCATGACTAAGTTCTGCTGCCTGACCTTTGAGAACTATCCAGAAAGCAGAAAAACACTCCTTCGCCCTCAGAATTCAGCACACATGCCTTCCTCTGGGATTTAAACTGAGAGGATCAAATTAAAGTAAGAGTCACAAAAGGAGCTTTTCATTAACTCTTAGAAGCTATTTTTCTTCCTGGGACCAGCTCAGGACAAAGGAATCCCCAGGAGTTTGGACACATCACTACTGTAGGGTGGAGTTCGGAGAAAGAAGGGATTTGCAGATAAGCAGGAATTCACCAGCTGGAGGGACTTAAGGAAAGATACCTAAGGTTTAAAAGGGAGGCTGATTAGCAGTAGTGGGAGTGGAGGAGTGGCTCCCCAGAAGTGAACACACCTTCCCCAGTTTGACTTTCTGTAACTGCAGTTTCAACAGCTATGAGTTCCAGAATCCTGTATCAAATTGCTGACCTAAAATCTCTATTGCAGGTCTCACTGATGCCTCAAACTTGGCCGTTCAAAGAAAACTAGTGGTCTATATCCAAACACA